AGATTATTATACAACGAATAAATCAGTTTTATTAGATATTAGACTTGGCCGTTTAAAAGCTCTTCAGCAGAACACCAGAAGAACCTTCGTTACGTAAGTTTTGATTTATCGATAACGCGCTCGATGAAACCTCCGGTAACCGTATTTAAGCGTGTTAGTAATCGCCGCGCTGAAAGTTGTAATCGTTATTTATACAGTTTGAAACCGGGAAGTCACGCCGCGTGTGTAGAAAGAGCTTGGCACATGCGCGGCGGAATCTCGAATTTCAATTTTCTGTATCAGCATTCCGGTCTGACGTTTAATCTACTGTATAATCATCCGTGCTCGAAATTTCCTTTCGAGCAGGATGGCACCGAAAACGCTCCCTTTATCTTCTGCGGTCAACATTTACACTAACAAAGCGTCTTCGTACAAATCGCTCGCATTTATTAACGCATGCACTGCTAAAAAACAAGGATACTTTAGTTTATAATAATTTAGTAATATAATAATATTATAGTATAATAATTTAGTGAATTATTAAAATTTTATAATTTAGTAAATATTAAATAATATAATAATTTAGTAAATTATTATAATTAATAATTTAGTAATATAATAATTTAGTAAACTTAATAAATCAGTAACTTATAGTAACTTCAACCCTTAGGGGGTTGAAACTATTTATTCCCAGTTTACACACTGCCAAGTCCAGACTGTTTTTCAGACGAAGAGTAATGTTTTACCGAAAATTTTTGTATCAAATACAGAGAAGAGATATTCATTTTTTAAATAAAACTTCCTTGATATATTTTCACCGAAACAATCGTGCCTATTCTTCCAATGTTTCCTGCCAGATTTTACGGTTTTATCACCGTAGGATTAGCTTAGTCCGTCAAGGATTAACATAAATTAGTAATTTAGTAACTTTAGTAAAATTTCATTTTTACTGCACAAGCTAACAATTTGTCACAAAAGCGTGCTTACGACGAGAAATCTGAATTTGACACTTCTAGCCTCACCAATTGGAAAATTTGCTCATCTGACACCGATCTCTTACCGATCATAACAGCCAAAATGATGTTGACCGCGCTGAAGAGACCGAGCTCCCGTTTCAGCGCGACCTTTCCGCCTCCCTTTTCCTGGTCCTGGACCATTTTGTCGGGGTCCGTCGACGGGTGCGATCACAAAAGTAGCCGATCAACCAATGTTTCATCGAGCGGGCACGATTCCGTGACTCAAAGGTCCATCGTTTCGACCTTCGCAGCGGCCGATTTTCTAGGCCGAGACCGGCACCACTAATTCCGCACGACGGAGACACGACGACGACGAATCGGCTGGCTTCCTCGTGCCAGATCGAAGACCGCGTGTGACGCTATCGGAAGATGTCCAGGCCGAGACTGAAGTGTTAACGGGTCAGCTAGCCGCTTATTTTTACGGACTCGGAATGATTCCCCTGATAAGGGTACCCCGAACCCCGTGGCACGGCGGCCGCTGCCAATATTTGTCACAACCGGTGTGACAAGCCGAGGCGTTGTTGACGAATTTTGAATGTCGGCCGAATGATACGGCAACGATGGTACCCTCGGCCGGCCGATGAATAACGAGTGATTAACAAGTTTACTCGAAACTTACTACAGATGAGAGCGGGCGAATCTCGACGCGAGCCGAGATCGGCGCAATTTTCGGAGAGAATATTTAAAATGTCAATTTTAGAGCGGTTAGAGGACGTTGAGATGAAATTGCATTTTGAATACGAATCTCGGTAAAGTGTTTGCGTTCTAATGATGCCGAAATGTAATATTTGGTCGATTTATTTTTTAATATAGAAAATTGGTCCCAGTTATTTTCAGCATCCATCGAATAAAATGTCATTCGAACAATTTTCAAAAATAAAGTACCATTTAAACGAGACATTTATATTATATTTATTTATGTTAGAATATTTTGTTTTTGCAGATGTAGGCAACATTTTAAATAAGTATAGTATAAATATTATTATATAGTATAATATATATAGTATATAGTATAGTATAGCATATATATATATTTGCAGATGTAGGCAACATTTTAAATAAGTATAGTATAAATATTATTATATAGTATAATGTATATAGTATAGTATAGTATAGTATATATTATAATATATATTATAAATAAGTATTGGTATAGTATATTTTATTTATCTCTGGTTACTGTAAATAAATATCAAATATTTTCATCGCGAGCGATCGTCGAACATTTTAGGTCTACGCTTATTCATTCGCAATGAGTCATGTTTTCCATTGTCAAATTATCGGTCCAAATGTCTTATGTGAACTATGGAACGGTTCGAGGATCATAAACATGGCGGGGGGGTTGGTGTGTACGTCACCACTACGGTCTTGTAATAGGTAAATTCGATAAGATAATGTAACTGTAACGACGGTAGTTGGATGGGCAGTATGTATCTCCCGAACAATGCTTCTTCGCTTTGTTGTTTCTATCCCGCATTGTTAATGGTTTAACCGGAAAATTATTATTTGCAGTGATTGCGTGCGTCACTCTGGTTTTATCAGACTTACAATTAGATTTGCACGGATGAACGGTAGGGCAAGGTTTAAAACCGATCACAACGACGTATTGTTCATAACAAACTTTCGTATTTGGATTTCTGAAATTTCGAACGTGTTTGGAAACGTTATTGAATATTGGAAAAATAACTATAAATATAATATAAATATAATGTTATTTATAATATTATATTATATTATATTATATTATATTATATTATATTATATTATATTATATATATAAATAACATTATATTTATATTATATTATATTATATTATATTATATATATAAATAACATTATATTTATATTATATTATATTATATATAAATAACATTATATTTACATTATATATTTATAGTTATTATAATATTATAATTATAATATATGTTAAAATCTTTTGTCACAAAACGCTGTTAGAAATTTCTTAATTTATATCATTCACAACTTCGAATGAAACATACAGCGACGGTCATATACGTAATACCACTTGAAAAACGGTACTTTTTTTTTTTAAACTAGACTTGAATTTTTTTATACGATAGAGA